GTAGCCGTGTAGTCTACTAAGGCTTTTAGTAATCCTCACAACGAGCACAAGTAACAGGTCTGTTTTCCTGTAAAATGCATGAACGCATGCAAACAGCTGTCAAATCCTACTACTTCGTTGATAGGCTATGTTGATGTTGGTTCCCGACGTTGAGCTTTGTCCATACGGGAACACTGTACGGCTGTGAATTTCTCTGTAACACGCCTCATGAACTCCCGTAACACCACTTGCGTAGCTGGAGAACCTCTTATCTACCTGAACAACACAAATACGTTTTTAGAACTAAATCAAATGTACGGCTGTGAATTTCTCTGTAACACGCCTCATGAACTCCCGTAACGCCACTTGCGTAGCTGGAGAACTTCTTATCTACCTGAACAACACGAATACGTTTTTAGAGCTAAATCAATAGCCCATGTCAAGATATTCATATATAATCTCTTTTTCGTCCGCATAATCGGGTTAGTGCTCCGCAAATGGTTCACCCGGTCTATGCAATTCATAAAGACATAGTAGACTACAATAACCGCTGGCATCGGAAAGGTCTTCCAGTGCAAGGCCTCTTCTCCTGTCCACCGGCGAAATGGCGCAAGCCCATGACACAACCAAATTGGCGCGGAAACACCACCACGGAGAACACGCTGAGTGAGGTGCCAGCAAGATCATTTGAGTAAAACGTCACAGTCAACGTATCGTGAAAGTCAACATGACCAGCATTATCAGCAATTGATACCGGCAGCACATACACTGAGCGTAGATGTTCTGGTAGTTTCTTTTGCACTCGATTGTGTGTTTCATGTGTTCTTTCCCACCCGGTTGGCACATTGATGGCCGCCATCAGTTTCCAAAACCCTCGTGCAACATTGTCCATTCGTGTCTTTTCAGCTTCAAGCGCAGGTGCGATCCACTTGCATTGAAGTGATATTCTAACGATATCTAACATTTTCATCTCGCTGTATATAAATGAAAATAATGTCTTCTCGAGGTTGTGCCTCGTATAAAAGCTATTACATACCAGAAGACGGCGTGAAGTTGGAGCGGGGACAGCTTGATGAGGTGTCCGCTCATTGCAAGCCACAACGCGCTTGAATCTATACGCTGCATTGGAATGTCGTCTCTCATCAGGGTTCTGAATAGAGGTGAGCGCACTGGTGGAAACATGTCGACGTAGTGCTCAGCAGGTACTCTACGTGTACGATTGCCTGAGCCGTTGTCCCAAACGGAGTACCTATACAAACCTTTTTAACCAATCACGGGGTAAAACTGTGGTGAAGTGCGACCAAGAGAAAAACAACCTCGGCTGTCAGATCGCGAGATAGAAACGAACCAGGCGACAGAAATCCCACTCAAAGCCAAGACCTCACGTCATCGCTCCAAGATCTAGCGTGCGACAACGTCGGTGAGTGACGTTGACTTCGGATTACCCAAGATTAACCCCTGAATGATGAATGGCGACGATACCCATACCGCGACGCGAGAATGTAAGATCAAGAGGACTGGATGGACATGAGTCGCTGTCAACCCGCGATCTGGGATCGTGGTGGATCAGCGGACAATTATTGACAGAAGATGACAACATTGTAGTCGCGCCTACCACAGATCAATAGACCTTAGGTAAAGGCGATCCCAGGTCAAGGCAAGATGATGATCCAGGATTGGAGGAAGGAGGCGGGACAAGATCGTCGAGAGGCAGCAGTCAGGCGCCTCGGGATAAGTAGCGACAACGACGATCACCGTGCGACGGCGACCCGGAGATGACTCAAGATCACAGGCCGGGATGCCCGATCGTGATCGCCGATCGCGATGGACAGATCCCAAGATATGGTATGTATCCGGATGTCAGGTGGTCGTAGGAAAGCAGCTGAGGATGGGTTAGTGTATATAGGGATAAACGTAAACAGACTCGAATTTGTTCTAAGCTACCAAGTGTCCGTCTTGCCTGGAATCGGGGATTAGTTTGGCCCCTCAAGCGCGTAGACGGTAAGGACTCAGGCTCTAGTGTAGCGGTAAAGCCTGGGTAATATATTGGCCAGATTTGCCCTACCTAGTGACTTGTCCTCAAGTGTTTACTGTCGAACGAAAGGCATTAGTTGCTTGGCCTGAAGATCCCATCGGATCTCGACCCAACAAGTACCCCGCAATTGGAAGCGGTAAGCACCCACAAGGAAAGAGTAAGCGCTCCATATTTGGAGCACCTAAAGACCTAGAAAGACAACCAGGCTGCTCTTCGTGACTCAAGGACTCGTCTGCGACTGAGTTCAACCTACGCGAGATAGAGCGAAGAAGTTCCGCGTTATTTCAAGCCCCTGCGTTCCACCCTTTCCGGATATAAATCGAACGAGTCACCCAGGAGAGCTTAACCCGCCCGCCGTCGGGTATACAAGGTACAACCAGCTCACGGATCATCGGAGGACCCCTTCGTTAGTTGGTGTCCGGGCGCCAGTGGTATCGAGACCTGCGTCAACGCGATTTTCGCAAATCCCGCTTCGCCACAAAACCTTACCCAATAGTTGTATGGTTTGGAGGGCATAAAAGTCATCGCACTTGACCGAGCCTTTGTACGTACTGTATTTTCATCTAGGCTAATCGCTCCAATAGGTGCAGTAATTGCGACAAACCTCTCCTGGATCTGAGTCATCCAACGGCGACTGTGCCACAGCGGATCAAGTTCTCGATGTTGGGTGGGTACACTACCTGGTGCATGCACCTGAAACCGAGCTCGTATACTTTCAAGTCTATTTGTGGCCATTGTTTGAGGAGAATCGGACTAACCAAGGAATAGTTTCTGATACCGCAATACATTGATCTCTGTCAGAGGTATAATGCGCATGACGATCTCCGTCCCGATGTAAGTAGCAATCTCAAATACTGTGGCATTTGGTTTCCCTTCTACGTGAGCATCGTGTTGGACCAGCGGAGCAAAGCGTCCCGAAACTCACAGGTGAACAGAGAGAGAACAGGCCTAATTCTCCTCGATCTTTGTAGGTTTCGGTGACTTCTCGATCTCGCACAATATGGATCCCGCTCTCTTCGATGAAACCGCCCACATATTTATTAGCTGTCAGCGTGTATTGAGCAAGGAACGACTCCACAGGTGGGGTCACTACCTCCACATGGGACTCGTCTTCTTCCTCGTTTGCTGGCGGAGTCACATCGGCACCGTCCTCATGATCTGAGTCTTCAAACTCCCAGTCAGGCTCGTCATCGTCGTTGAGCCGCGTGGAAATGTCCATTGTCGTGAACACAAGTTATGATAGAAGAAAGCGAAACAAAAAGTAAAGGCGAATATGTGCCTAGAAGTGCACTATATGAGCCTCAAACTATCACGGTCTTTACGGAACTGTAAACGTTATGGGTCTGCTGTAGTCCTACTAGTCTTTGCAACGTCTACCACATATCCTCCCACTCGATTATCTACCAATCATTTGATAAGAATTCCCTTACAGGTACGGCCCAGGCCTATAAACTTGGCAAATTTTGCAGGTAGCTCCACCTGGGTGGAGGCACTTCGAAGTGGGCGGTTGTACAACGCACAAAATTGTTGTTAGTACTATTATTACAGAATTATGATATTTCTACAATGTGTAGAATTAGTATGCTTCTGCAATATGGATTAACATGATACATGTATTTCTGCTTCTTGAAGGCGAGGAACTATGATAGTGATCATGTAGTCCCAAAACTTAATGATGTTTTAGCCGATACAGTATGATAGAGAATGTTGCGGAACTATCGGTGATTTACTGCAACATGTTCCATAATACTTGAAGTGTCATAATTGTACAAATAAATAGATAGGTTTACAGTAGAAAGCTTTCTACTATTGATGGTTTAGTATAATAGATACAAAGTTTACTACGCGTCAAAATTTTCACATTTCAAATGTACCTCCAGTTTTGCAATGACATAGTGCTAGGATCCTTAATCGCGGTGGTGAAGCCCTGTTTCAGCACCTTTTCATAGTCATCAAATCCGCTGTGACAAAGTCCGTCTGCCACGTGGTGAAGCCTATTTTAACTGTGCTTCCATCTAGCAATCCTGAACGAGGGTGGTGACATCTTGAACCTTTATTGCTGGGTAGCCACAAATGAACCGATGTCAGCCTCAAGCAAACTTGTTGCAGCTATTATTTGAGTTTCGGTTGTTTCGCGCGGTTTGCCAACTTGGTTTGATAAATGATGAAGAATGAATCCATCAGATTATTGATATTATTCTCGAACCGGTATTTGCAGCAAGTTTATAAAGAAGTTACACACTCGACAAGAATTGTTTATGCTGGTGCAGGTGATTGGACAAGCTATTGAGATGACATCACATCAGTACGGTATTTCCAGGGTGCGATAATATAGGCGCTGGAGTAGTAAATGGACTCACTGCCTATATTAGTTTTTTCAAAACTGCCTGACAAAACTTTTATTTCGAAGGGTCGTGGATCCAGTTACCCGAATCGTTATGGGTCCGAACTGTTTAAAAAGCGAGATATATTTCATACACACACATGACACTGTTAAAAAGGAAATGGGAAGGTTCGAAATGTCAAGATATGATTTGCGAGGCTTCAATACCTAAACGTAACTTCCACAGAGCAGTACGAGACTTTCCACAAGCTGGCTACCACACTCCAGTATCGATTTGAAGAAAATGGGCACAATGGAATCCCAATTTTGAGCGATGCGAAGATAGAAGCCCAGGTTTGGAATTTATCTCTGTTCGCACTGGATGTGTACTCGAACTTTGATTTGGAGAAGCAACAGAAGTTGGTTCTTGATCTTGCAGATGCTCTGGAGTTGTTAATTGGGAAGGTGTGTTCATTCGAATTCAATTGAGCCAATCTCCTTCGGTGTTAACACCGAAGGAGATAATTGCTGCCCCCGATGAGGACTTTGCTACTGTGTTGACAATTCAGCATGAACAACTACTGCAAACAACACTCAGAGATGACCAGCTTGTTATGGACTCAACGCAAGGATCTTAATGTAGAATACTACGAGAATCGAAATATGAAGAACAAGATTGACCGCTTGTCCAAGCTACCCATCAATCTTGCATGGAATGACGGCGCCCTCAATTTAAAGTGTGGAGTACTGAAAAAGTTTGCTCTTGGTATAGCCAGTATTTCGCCGGGTATACACAGTGTTAAAGCCGATTTGAGCACGAGCTATTGCAAGTTAAGCGAGATTGGAATTGGAGTGCGACAGTTCCGTACTACAACGACAATGTGGGATCACGGTTTACACTAAAGAGGCAATCGAGGATCTGGTGACCTTGAACCCGTTGGATGTGATCCGGATAGTGAAGATCGTAGACGAGAGTGCACAAATATCTGCTGTAACGACCCGATTTAAGGCGAGATCGGGAATGTGTATCAGATCAGATCCAGCCTAACTAGGTCAGGAAGTTCGAGCGGATCCGACAAGCACAGGATGATAAGTCGTGGAGCCCGGGTCTGAAGAAGTATTTGGTTGGAGAGATCTGGGATCTGATGCAAGATGATATTAAGGTGTTTGGATCTATTGCTATGAATTACGAAGTGGACCAGTCAAATCTGTTCTTCTATCGCCCGTCAACTTAGGAGGCAACTGCAGATCAAGACAAGTTGATGCGACCGGAGATACATGAGACGCTTCAACAGGCCATTTTGCATCTCTATCACACGAACCGGCAGGGTGGCCAACAAGAGGTCGGTCGCACCTATAATCGGACCCGCGATCATTTCCATTGGAGAGGGTGTACAAACGTGTACAGCGATATGTGGGAGAATGTGTTGATTGTGAAACAGGCAAATGACGACCTCGGATCCAGGGTGAGTCACCTGGTAACCTTCAGGCGATATATCCATTCCAGATCATTGCCATGGATCACATACCTTCGCCGCCAGGATCCTTCAATGGCAACACCGAATTGTTGATCTTCGTGGATCGATTCTCGCGATATGTGATCGTCAAAACCAGCACCTCAAGATTCGCTCAAACAATCGCTGAGATCTCCGAAGAATGCCTCTTCCGCTGATTTCGTGCGAGCGAGGTGATCCAGCATGATCGGGAGCCGGGTTATATGTCTGACTTCTTTAAGTCCTTCACCAAGATCTTGGGTCAAACGTCAAGGCGTTACTGTGGCTTATCAACCCCAAGTTAATGGGTCTGCAGAGCGTATGGTCCAGCCGATCACCAGGGCTCTCAAATTTATGTACATGATCTGGATCAACGAGAGTGGGATGAATACGCCGAACGGCTCACCTTCGCGATCAATACAGCAAGAGATCGTATCCGAAGCAAACCCTCTTTTATATGATGTTAGGTCCACTTTGGAAGTGGTGGTCCCGGTGGGGAGCACCCGCAGGCACGATCGAGATCGAAGAAGATGGCGTATCGAATGCAAAAGTACTACCAACAAGCTCGAGCGCAAGTGAACCAGCGCTTACGCAAAACAATCGCGGATCAGGTCGACACGCATAATAATCTCGTACGTCCTCATCCTGTAAGGTCTGGATCAAGAGTCTGGTTATACCTAGATCGAGTGCGTGAGGGATATGCGAAGAAATTAGCGCACTTATGGCATGTTCATTTAGCGTCGCTGAAAAGATCGGCGAATTTGCAGTGAGGTTAAAGATTGCAGATCAACATACAACATCTTCCCGGTAGTGCATATCTCGAAGGTCAAACTGGTCAAGATATTCCCAGATCGACCGGTGGCTCGCCTAGATGAGTCAGAAGGAGACCGGGAGGACTTCGATTAAGCTCTCCTACCAGAGGCCAGCTGGATACAGGATCGGGATCCGGATGAATATGAAGTGAAGCGGATTTCCGACATGAGGACTGACAAGAAGACTAGATATGGACGGATCTATCGAGAATCCCTGGTACACTGGTATGGATATGAAGTTCCAACCTGGGTAGATGAGGTAGATATCAACTGTGGTGCTCTTCTCTATGAGTTCTTGCGAGATCGCACTAATCACATCCGTTTTAGTGTGATGCAGTCTCACGAGGAACCATGAGATCTGGATCCACACTGGTGAGTTGCTCATTGGTGTGGTTGAGGGTTGATGGATCTGCAAGGAGGTTGCAGATCGGAGGACAGGGTTATGTGAATTTGTATATGATGATATACTGATGAAGGATCGGAGTGGAAAGCGATTGATCCAGAGATAGACCTGGATTGAGTAGGAGTGAATTTCGATAATGGATCTAGGACTGTATTACCTGAAAGATTATGGATCAAATGTCGAACGACAAGTGTGGAGGTACTAGAGTGGAGGTCGGTACGAATTAATGAGGTTGGGAAACTAGGGGAATTAAAAGACAATGACAAACCCAGATCCGAGGAAGATGACATGTATCACGATTATCGAAGCTGATATGGGAGGAACATATGAAGAGGTGTCAGGATCATGTTGGAGGAAGAAAAGGCGGCGCGTTGGGATTCAGAGCTACCAGGTTAAATGACGACGAGACGCTCGATCCGGCGAGCGGGGCGGCCCGCATGGCGCAGTCGGTAGTGAGTATGCCATGGATCTGCGGCGTCACATTTAGCGAGATCATCGATCAGATCTGCAGGCTCGCGACGGTGGAATTGCGAATCCGCGAGGTTGGCACTGCGAGCCTCGATACCGGGATATCAAACCACTTTCGCTTGGGAAAATTGAGAAAGTATGGATCCAGCAGCAGATCCAGATCACACCAGCGCACGTGGCGATCAAGAACAGTTGCAAGATCTGCTTACACCCAGTGCCAGCGTGAGATTGACGGTTCTTTCTTCTCCACAACGAAGAACACCAGATATGGATCGCTGGGGATCAACGCCGGCGGGACTGCAAAGCGGTGCGTCGACGTCCTGTAAGCGATCAGATCCTGGAACTCCACCGCCGAATACCTCTCGATAAGGAATCCCAAGCGACCGTCGGCTGTGATCTCGAATGACATGGGCTCGGAAATGTTGGACCAGTGAGTACATTCCAGGGAAGAGCAGCCATGAGGTCGCGGACGTACTGACCCGTGAACAAGTGGCTGTAGTCTTGGAGAAGATCTACTCAGGGCGAAATGGTAACGCGCGCGACAACACTTCCAAAGTCATACTCATGCTCGTCAGGGTATTGATCCGTTGGATCACCCGTGGATCCACGTCAGCAATGTTGTACTGACGAGTCTGTTGGCGGTCGGGAATACACAAATGATCGGCGGCAAAGTGACGTCGCGGAAGCGTTATGGAAGATCTTGAAGTTTGTCGTTGGAGGTGGAGCCACCAGATCCGTTGGGCGTAGACGTGTAGTCGGGATTGCGATTGGGCTGATCATGATCCGACTGGTTTTGGTATGAGATCTGATATGTCTTGATCTGAATTTCCCTGATCTGGCTTGTGCTGATCCAAGCCCTCTGGATCTGGCTTCTCTTCGTCCGACTTCTTGGGGTCATCAGGAGAGCGCTCAGATTGATCCTTACCGAATCAGCGTCAAGCCAGAGTTTGACGGTCGGAGGGCTTGATCCCATGCCGCGGCCACAGAAGATAACATCTCAAACGCCGTCCGCAGTTCGTGTCGCGCATCTGTGCGTTCCTGAATCAGACTGGTCAGACGTCGGTTCACCACCAGGATCTCGGCATTCCGCTCGGTGATCGAGCGTTCAGAATTGGTGAATACGGTCCAAACTACAGTGACATCGTTTTCTGCACGAAAGGAAAAGAGTTAGTGATATGGTGTGATCCAGATCAAGGACAAAGAAACGTACTTAGATCCTCGCCTGCGTCACGATATCTTTCTTCGCGCTTCGCCGCACCGGCGGGATTGACGCGCAACACGTCACAGCTTGACTTCTCCCGTTTGAATCCTTCCGTCTTCTGCTGGATCTGATCTCGAAGTGCGTCAGCCTCATGAGCCTTAGTCCAGACTTGGCGTTCAATGCATCATGCTCTCTAGAGTCTCCTATAACTCTATCTGGGGTGGGGTAGATCAGAAATCGATAACCGGGTAATAAATTGGCCAGATCCAACTATCGAGTTCTTATTCTATACGTGCAAGCTCCAGATCCACGGCATTTAGTGCTTGGCTCTGCCTCCACCGATCTCCTATCTACCCCCCCCCCAGATCTAGTTATAAGATACTACAAGGAACTTACAGGGATCGCAGGATCAACAATACTCAACGCCAAAGGAAGACAACAGAACAAGGCAATCTACACGGCGGATCCAAGATCCCCCCTGTTGATCCACGTTCGGCTTTTCAAGTGGACTCCAGAACAACTTACCTGGCAATTGAGCGAAGTCATTTCTTACTGTTTACCACTATTCCTGCATCTTGCCTAGACCGGTGAGTGATGTTGACTTCGGATGACCCAAGGTTAACCCCTGGAATGATGGATGGCGACATACCCATACCGTGCCACGAGAATGTAGGTTCAAGGAGAACCGGTGGACATGAGTCGTTGGACATGAGTCGTTGGACATGAGTCGCTATCGACCAGCGAATCCGGGACTGTGGTGGGTAAGCAGACAGCGATCGAAAATGATGGCAACATTGGGGCCACGCTTATCACAGATCAAGATATGCGAGGTGAAGACGATCCCAGGTCAAGTCAAGCTGGTGATCCAGGGTCATGAGAAGGAAGCGTGAAGGGATCGTCGAGTGGCAGCAGTCGTGCGCCCCAAGGTGACCAGCAACTATGAAGATCACCGCGCAATGGCTATCAGGAGACGGCTCAAGACAACGATCGAAATCGCTGATTGTGCTCGCGGATGTGGATCTCGGTCGACAGATCTCAGGATGAGGTAGGTATCCAGATGTCAGGTGATGGTAGGCATAGCTGAGGATGGGCTAGTGGACATAGGGATAAACATAAATTGACTCGAATTTGCTCTAAGCTACACAAGGGTCCATTATCACCTGGAATTGGGGATTAGATTGGCCCTACGAGCACGCAGACGGTAAGGACATAGGATCTAGCGTAGCGGTTAAGCCTGGATATGAGCAAGATCTACCCCCCCCCCAAGACCTGGAACGACAACCAGGCAGCTCGATCACGGCTCATGGACTTGCCTGCGATCGAGATCCACCTACGCGAGATAGAGCGAAGAAGTTCCGCGTTATTTCAAGCCCTACGTTCCCACCTTTCCAGATATACATCGAACGAGTCACCCAGGCGAGCGTAACCCGACCGCCGTTGGGTACACAAGGTGAGCAAGAACACAACCAGATCACGGATCATCGGAGGTCCCTCTTCGTTAGTCGGTGTCCGGGCGCCAGTGGTATCGTGAACCGCGACGACTAGATTTTTACGAATTCCGCTTCGTCACAGTTGGATCCGGCCGGGTACCTACCTACCTCCGCTTCTAGCAGCTGTTTAGCTTCAGATCTTAATGTACACTACCAATTACAAACTTTATTTACTGGGCCCAGATTGGTCCTGCGTATTCATGTCTAGATCAGATATGGTTACATCCATATCGGTTAATAGGAATCCCCCTAGCTCGATCCAATGTTTCCGAACTAGCTTGATCTGAGTCCGGTCTGATTGGTCTGATCCCGATCAATTGTCTTGCCCCGGTCTAGGTCTATCTGTCATTTCTTATTTCTAGTTTTCTCATTTCGTACTTTCTTGAAACCGCTTCACCACAATCACCTCCTGTCAGATAGTTGTTGTTGCGCAATGCTGACGTTGCTGACTCTCTTCCACCATTTTGTTGCCTCACTTTCGAGGTCTAACATGCCTAACGATGGCGATAGTAACCGTTGCGACGAAATCCCAGTAGCTGTTCACCTGGGTCGACCTTCGATCCAACCACACTCGATCAGACTTGCATCTGTATGTCACGCACTTATTCCACCGCAATGGTGATCTGCCGGCAGCGCTGGTCCTCCACACGCTTCCTCCACTATCAATATCACCTTCAGTTTAGAACAATGATCGACTCACGGATCTAAGCGACTATGTCCAAAACCAAGATCTGGTTATAGGCTTCATGCATGAGTCCATTGCTAGGCTTCGTGCCCATCAGGACGAATTCCGAGCCTTAATCAA